TTCAATGAAATACACCTAGGAGGGGACACTCTTTATAAGCGTCTTCTAAATGGTCTCGTGGGTTCATTGAAGAACTCCAACAGTCTTGACAGTCATCTTTATCCCAGTACAGGTAATGTGCCCAGTAGTAATAGCTGGTTTACTACGTGGCACAAATTGTCGAGAAGATTGTGGAACGTCCTGACAGTAAGTGAGAGGGATACCACATATGTGCCTCTTTCTTGGCTACACATATTTTAGACAGGATCATGAACCACTTATTTAAAGTTGAGTATTGTCATAAAGACTTTCCTGACACTTTTCCAACACTGTCATAAGATTGAATCTGCATAGGTCCTTCAATTCAATGTAATACTTTTCATCTTACGTTCCGGTAAGTATTCTGGGGTCTTGCTTTTTTCACAACAGATCTTTTTCCTCAAAACATTATTACAAAGATTGTGGTGTTTCTCTTTTTCCATCATTAGTTATGACTCTAACATGGACGACAGCAGGGACAACAAGAAGAACCGGTTTTCCAGTACTATGGCCTTCATGGAGGAGTATCTTAACAACGTCCTTAATGATGACATGCCATTCCATGACGAGGAGAAAAACAAGCTCACATATGAGGTCTGGTTCTACTCCCTAGTCTTACAACTTCACTAAAAAGTTCTACTACTACTGTCTGTTATTACTTCTTCCATTTCCCTTCTGCCTTCAGGTGGTGAGTTTGGCCAGACATTTGATCTACTTTGGCTTCTACAGTTTTTTTGAGTTGCTCAGACTCACAAGGACCCTGCTGGGCATCATTGACTGCAGACTCAATCCAGGACACGCTGGTCTCGTATTCAATGATGATGCATCAGGTGACTTAAAATACCATAACAAGCTAAGACATTCGATTGTTTAACAACATCAGGTTTGCTGCCAAGTTTAACTTTAGTTTTTATCTTCAATTACTTACTTATTTTTATTAGTTCTATTTAAAAGAACTAGGAGAATGTAACGGGCCCTGTTTCTTTGTATGCCTGTTTGAGCAGTTTACATTCCACAATTTTAAGATATCATCTTCAGATTTTGTGTGATAGTAGATACTAACAAGAGCCCAAACTCTAATTGTTTTTAAAATCAGTTCAAGGTCAAGTTCACACCGATCTCTGAATGCGCTTGTTCTATTTAGTCCAATGAAAGTCCATTAAAAGTCAAATGGAAGAAACAAAAACAAACATTTATCTTTGATACCTTGATAACTTATTCATCTATTATAATGTTAAAGCTTGCTAAAGCTCAATTGTTCCTTCCCTTATGAAGAAAAGGTCTTTTTGTTTATGAATTTATGGGAATTGCAGTAAATCTTTTTTGCTCTCTCTCATCTGCATTTGTATATTCTGGTCATTTGATCTGTATTTCCAGTTTTTTTTAACCAAACATGGCTGATTTGTTTCATCAAGTTCAGCTCATTCTCTGTTTCAAGCATTTTTTCATTTGTCTTTATTGTTTATTGATTCTTTTCAGTTATTTTCACCTTTCATTTTGTGCTGTTTTCTACTTGTTTATGTCTGGTTATATTGCTGGACCGTCCAGCAACAACATTCTTGGACTCGTTCCAAGAGGTCTTTTTGTGCCCATGTGTAACTGTTATTGACTTTATGTCGAATATTGTCGGGTTAATTACACTGACATGCTTTTTTTCTTCTCTCGGTTAAGGCAAGAACGTGAAGCGCTCTATACACGGGATGGGTCAGATGATGTCGACCATGGTCCTCAACAGGAAACAGTCCATATTCGGAGGTGCAGTTTCCAGAGGGGCAGGAATGGGGCCAGCGCTTGTGCTTGAAGGACAAAGAGCCAGTAAAGATAGTCTCGACAACATGGACCTGACAGTGATGGATACTAAGCTGAAGATACTGGAGATATTACAGGTAATATACAATAATTTTAACACATTTTACACTCAGTGGCCACTTTTTTGTTTTTAGGTACACCCATCCAATGCAGTACAATATTTAAAATGAAATTTATTAGATATCGATTAGACAACATTGCCCAACCAGTGTTTAGCAAAAGGGCCTGCTCACAAAATGCCTTTAGTTTGTAAGAAAAGTTATAAGAATGACATTCAAACCCTATATGTAAAATTATGTTATTGTAATTGAATTCCACTTTCCTTTTCATCAGTTCATCCTGAATGTCCGTCTGGACTATCGCCTCTCCTTCCTCCTGTCTGTATTTAAGAAGGAGTTTGTGGACGTTTATCCCATGGCTGACGCTGACGCTACCACTAATATGGAGCATGCAGGTAGAAACACAGCTGGTGGAAATAAACTCATTCAATTCATTTTAACTCTAACATACATAAACTATATATAAAAAGTTGTCTTCTGCTTCTATATGCATGCATGTGCATACATGTGGGAAAAGACAAGAAAGGGGGTAAAGTGCACAGTTCTGCAGCACTATATACATTTGAACAGTATTCAAAAATATACAATGGACAAATATGCAAGTCAGGAATACAAATAGTGACATATATTTACAGTGTAGTTTATTGCACGTAAATTAGGTATTGCACAGTGATGATGTGTGTTCTGTTTATGGAGGAAAGTGCTTGGATTGGAGGGTGGAACTGTGTTTTCAGTGCATGTGTGAGTTCAGTGTGGTTATGGTTTTTGGGAATAAATTATTCTTGAGTTTGTCAGTCGTTGTGCTGATGCACCTGTAGCACTTCCCTGAGGGAAGAATTAGTTTCCAATATTTATCTAAATACCTAAAAACACAATTCAAATAATCTGGGACCTGTTATGTTTTTCCTTATTTTCTGAAATCCATATACTGTTATAATGGTGGATTTTTTCATGGACAACTCTTCAAGTAATGAGGTCATTACTTGCACTACTGTTCACTGTGAGTCATAAGCTGCACAGCTTTTTCCTTTTTTCCTTCCTCAAAATATTTGTTTGCTTAATAGTAGTACAGCCAGGGCTGCACCAAGGCCAACTATAAGATAAATATAGATTTTTATTAGTTTTAAACTGTCATGAACTGTGTGTGGCAGGCAGGATTGGACCCAGACTCTTAGACAGGACTTTAACACAAAATCCAGCTTTTTTGCTGAAACAAGTCAATAGAGAAAACTAAATTAGGATCAGAACACACAGCTTGGTACGAGGGAGACGCTGATATACACAGAAAGATAACGAGGAACGTGAGAACACTCAGGGAACGCAGCTGACACAAATTAACATGACGCCACAGGGGAAGCAAAACAGCACACACCGAACATGGAAACACGAGACCTTCACAGTAAAACAGTAAATGGAGAAACACAAGACTGAGACGTGTTTGACAGCGGAGTGGAGAAAAGGCAGACGAGCGGGGGGGACAGAGAGGAGACACGAGGGGCTGGAGAAACACAGAGTGGAACACAAGGAGGGAAACAAGACGCGAGGGCTCACAACATATATACACACAGACACACCGCGAGAGACACAGAGGGCAAAGACACAAGAGGGAATCTAATAATCGAGAATCTAAACACAGAATAAAAGAAACTCACAACTAAGATTATAAATGAACCTGAACATAAAACATAATCCAAAATATTACTAGAACACAAGAAACTCAAAATGCTGGGTCCAGGTAATGACATAAACTGTGAGGTTGTTCTGCTAGGATCCAGAAATAAAAATATGTATATGAAAGAGGTATGACAGGTCCCATTAAAATATGATAAATCTAATAATTCAATATTTAACAAAACTTTAATGAGATGGGATAAATTTACACGGATTTTAGAAAAACTTTTGCGTGTTGTCTACCTGAATATCCACCCTGCAGTTTTTCTTAAGGTGCTTGTGTTACTTGTCTCCCTATGCTTCAGATGTGCCGGTTAACATGGACATGACAGGTAGTGCATAGATAAGCTCATATTAGAGGCAAAGAAGAACCTACACAGAGCACATGCCACATTTCTTCACCAGTTTACATGTCATTTTATTATTATAACACAAATTACTGCGCAAAAGTCTTTAACCCTATTTCTTAATAGTTGGTGCACGACTTAGATTGGAATGTCTTGATGCATGCTCATCCAGGTAAGTAAATCCCAAAAGGTTTGTGTTCATCTGGACGTAGCGTTTTCAGTGGGTGAAACGTTTCGTTACTCATCCAGGTGATTTCCTTCAGTCTCAGCTGACTGCAGGTTTCCAACCTTATAAACAGTACATTTGCACATGACTGAAACTAGCACCACTGGAAGGACACTTTTCACGTAAATGGGAAAGCATCTCTGAATCGAGGAGGGGGCTAAAGAGGACATCTTTCACCATCTTACAATGCTGTGATTGCAGCCATTCCCCAACTCTCTGGTACTCATGACCATCGATCAGCGGTCTTTGATCAATGGTCAAGACAATTTGCATATTAATGACTCACACCCCATTGTTCATTCAGCGTCCAGATAAACAACTTAGATTGAAAGATTTCCACAATGTGAAGCAGTGTGGGATCATCTTGAAAGAGAACAGAACAAGCTAACCAATCCAAAGAGGAGGTTTGGACTGTTCAAGAAAACTGGAAATTATTGCTAAAGAATAATTAAAGGAATTTGGGAGTTCAGGTTGTGTTGAAGAATAAATCTAGTTATATTAAATATTGACTTTCAAGCTTATTAGAATGATCCATACTGTTTGTATTTCTATCTATGCTTGCACATGTTGTTCATCTTCCTAGCAGAGCATCAAAAAATGAGGGTTGGCTCAAGACTTTTGCACAGTAATGGGTAACATTTAGAGTGAACCGTATGAGCAACTTGGTGTGAAACCATGAATAATTAATTTCAGTTCTGTTGTTTATTAACATCTGCCTTTTTGTCCCCACTCAGCCACCATCAACCTGCAGTTCATTGGAGAGCAGGCAGAGGCCATGTTTGGAGTTGGGTATGTATCGCTGGACATGCATTCATGCACAGGTTTTATTAATACAACATACACACATCTTAAGTACTTTGTGTGTTTGTGTGCAGAAAAGGGAACAGTATCCTGGAGGTGGACGATGAAGGTGGTCGCATGTTCCTGCGGGTGTTGATCCACCTCACAATGCATGACTACGCTCCTCTGGTGTCTGCAGCCCTGCAGCTGCTTTTCAGACATTTCAGCCAGCGACAGGAAATGTTACATACTTTTAAACAGGTGCACACAGACATGCAAAATCTACATAAATAAGCACAAAACAAATCCAGTATCTCTTAAACAAAATGCTGACCCCTTAAAATGCTTTACTGTCATTCAGAAGGGAATGTAATAAAAAGCAGAAGTACAGTCATGAGAATCAGTGTACACAACACTAGCTAAGACCAGCAATTCTTCATTAAACTCCTCAGAATTACCTTCAAATGGTCTATTTTTTTGTATTCACTGAATTTTTCAAATCTTCCTGGAGATCTGTGGCCCTGAGGGGTGTAGTGCGAAGTAAGTTCAGTATATCCAGGCTTTCTTTGCGTTAGCTAGTTTAATAAAACCTCAAACATAACGGTGCTTTCTTTGCTAACCCAGGCTTTCTGCTACAGTCTTCTGTGGGAACTCAGAACATGAAAAATATTGCAGAATATTCATGTTAATCCTCCAAGTTGTGACTGCAGGTCCAGTTGCTGATCTCCGCTCAGGATGTGGAGAACTACAAGCTGATTAAGGCAGATCTGGATCGCCTCAGGACATTGGTGGAGAAATCTGAACTGTGGGTGGAGAAGAAAAGCTCGGGAGGAGGAGACGGGAAGAAGGACAAGAAAGACAAGAAGGAAAAAACAGAGGTAAGGACTAATGAGATAATGAGATAAGAATAAGAGATTTTCTAATCTCTGTGGATTTTTCCCCGTTTAAATAAAACATTTTTAAATTGTATTGTGATACTACTGAGTGTGTGAAAGCTAAAGCTTTGAGAATGCAGGAGCCCACGATGAGAAATTATGAAGAAACTTTTCAAATCAAAGGTTTTAAATGTACGTAAGTTAGGTCTTATGCAGACGTGTAATACAAAGCCTGCAGAGCTCAGCTGGTGAGAGTATTAATCGTTGATTGTAGTATGCTGTGGACACAAACACAGACAGCTGCAGACTTGATGACCAAGCAGTCATTCATTGATAACCAGCATCCTCAAGAGCAAAGCGACGCAGCACTTTCAAACTGAAAAATCTCAGATGAGTTCGAACATCAGGGTCAGAGGTCAAGTCTTCTGAAAATCTTGTGAATGTGATAAGCTGAGAACAAGGTGATGTAGGATAGTGCTGCCAGTATTTTTTAATTCAGTGGTCATAATTTTTAATTGACTATATGACCAATAAACCAATTATAATCAAATTCATGAAATAAGAAATTATGAGGTTTTATTTTAACAGAGTTAGTTTTAAAATACCAAGAGGTCGGTTTTTGTCTAAGTGTTCATGCCGAGGAGCTAAGGCCATTTTTCTTCATAAATATTATCTTGTTATTGTGTCTTTGTCTTTAAAGTCTATAATACTGGCTCAAACCTTCCCATATCTAAATAATAACAGTACATATGTACTGAGCTGGCTGAGAGGAGAATCCCAGAGTAAGTCTGGGTTTAGAGGCTGTTTTAAAGGGTTTTTAAAGGCTAGCTGAAGTCAGGGTTACTTTGTTTTGTATGTTCTCTAAACTGCTTTTAAGATTTCAATTTTTTTCAGAACCAACAGGATCTTTGTGTCTAGGTGGCTGATTGACATCATAAGCTTTTGTCAATATAAAAACTAACCAATTTATTAACCACTGACTAACTAACCAACTACCCCATTCAGTCACTATTTAAAACAACACATTAACAACATGTTATTAAAAATCTAAATACTACTAATAAAACTAAAGTACTAAACAAAAACAAATAAAAATATCTTTTGAACTTTTGCATCTTGGTTTTTAAACTCACTTCCTGTTGGTGTTGGGCTTCCTGGTGTATCATGTGGATATAAGGTAGTGGGTTTATATGTGGCATGGCACTTTCACTGCATGGCATCTCTCCGTATTCTTTCTTTCTTGTTGTTTATACTTTGAAATGCAGAAACATTGTTTCTCAAATGTTTTTCTAGAACTAGTTTCTTGTTGTCATACATCTTATACACCCACACTGCATGTTTTAAAAAAACCCAACCAGCTAGTCGTGCTTTCTTCAAATGTTAGCTTGATAATGAAAACAACCAATCGCATTAACATGAGAAGTTGTTTTTGTAATGAAAAATTTAATGTAAAGAAAGAGCTTCATCCAGCGAGGGAACTTCTAAACCTGCCAATTTGGGTGCTGTTCAAAAGTTCTAGGAGTTTAAAAATAGTTTAAAAACCAGTAACCTTACAGAAGAGATGGCAACGTTTTAAGAAATATTGGAATAAACAATAACCAGTTTGCAGTACGCAAACTGTTTGTTTTTGGCATCCGATACTGGTGCAAGCCTCCAGTACGCTACTTCCTGGAGAAACTAGATGTGCTGGTGTGTTTGCAGACATTACATCCGCCCACACACTTATTCGACCCTGCTACCCATGTCTGTTTAGTGATATATTTGCTCCTTAACCTCTGGTAACCCATCTAGGATTAGGATTAGGATTGGGGTTAGGTTAACATCCACGCCTTTCTTTTAATGCGATTTGTGGCTATTTGGAGCACCCAAATCAAAACGATTAGAAGGGAAACGGCTGCAAAATGAGACTTTATTTGGAATATAATATCTTCTAGTTTCTTGAAGTTTGCCTTTTTAGCATGTGGCTAAAACAAAACCTAACACTAACCAAGCTAGTTTGCTAGTGAGCTGGTAAATGTTGAGGTTAACAAGTGAATCTGAATATTGACTAGGATCAGAAATGTAGTGTAAAGTCCTCAGCGAGGACACAATGAGTGTGGTGCCATACCCGGAGAGAACTGCATATGCTGTCTGACCCTCTGCATCCTGCAGGGGGCATCACAAGAGGCAACACCCAAGAAGGAGAAAGTGAAGGAGGGTAACGAGAACTACCAGAAAGTCAAAGAGGTGAGAGCGCCCGTTCGATAATGTTTCTACAACACGTGATCAGTTTTTCTTTTTGATTTGTCTCTGTCTGTTGGGTTTTCTGGAACGTTCTTCCAAAAAATCATCTATTAACTAATCAACAAGGGCACAACTGTGATGTATCTCTGTTGAAAACGTCCTGCACGTGGTGATCTTATCTCTTATCTCTCCAGCAATGGTGGTTTTTCTCTGCTCAGGATAATTCCATCATTATTCTCTCCTACTAGTTTCTCTGGTGAACAACACCTGCAGAATGTCACAAATGGAAACGAAGATGAAAATTAAAGGATAGATTTAAGTCCTTATTTGGTATAAAATTATATTCCAAATTCAACCAATCAAAACCTTCCTTCTGCTCTGGTAAATTTTAGCTTCCAAATGTTCGTTGTTGCCACTATGACTTCAAATTATCTTGTATTTCTTCAGTGTTTTGAAAGAGATTAGGTTTGGTACAATTTCTAATCACGACCTTTGTCAATGAATCACACTCTTTCCACATTGGAACGTCATTAATAATCAATATTTATGTGATTCATTATTTGTTTTATGTCTACAAAATCACAAAATGCTAATCTGATGATTCACTTAATATTTTATTAATTAAAAGAACTAAAGTAAACTGAAATAACATCAGTTGGCTTTTTTGTGAGTAAGACTCATTTGTAGATGTGCTTAGTTTCTACAAGTCAAAGTTTTCAAAAATTCAAGGTTATAGATTTTAATATAGCTTAAACATGATCTACGCACCTGCGCCACCTGAAAATAAAACACACACATTTTTGAAAACACAGTATATTTAAAGAAATAGTAATGGGCCCATAATTGAGTCTTGGGGAAAACTGGCAGTATTATCCAAGTATGTCTTTAAATTAAACGCTCGGGAAACAATGAATGAATAAACATGCGTTTTATTCACAAATAAGATTCATTTTAGCATTTTCAGAAATGAAAAAATGTCTTATCACTTAGAATATGTGTGAAAAAGCCCTGAGCCCAACACGGCACCTACTCTAGTTGTTCTAAAGATAATTCTACAGACATTGTTTAAAAGTAATGAATGTGTTACATTGTGTGTGTTACGTAATGTATTTTATCTTAACATTTTTAGTGTGTAAAGAAATCTTTTTTTCCTAAATGTGGAATGGCTTTATGAAAGACTTTTTTACACAGTGCATACTTTCTTTGGAGGAAAACTTTAATTGCTAAAAATGCAAATTAAACTCATTTCTTAGCATATACAGCCCATCAGAGATACTATCGTTAATTAAAACCAAGCTAAAATACACAGTGGGATACTTAGAGCTTAGAAAAAATGTACAAAAATATAATTGCAGGCTCTACAGTACCGTGCAACAGTCTTCAGCCAAACCTCATTATATTTTATTTTCATGGCAGATTGAATTTTTCAGTGCTTTTGTTTCAAAGGAGCTTGCAAAGAAAAGGCTGGACTTCTTTAAGTTGCTTGAAGACGTTTCACCTCTCATCCGAGAAGCTTCTTCAGTTCTAAGGTCAAATGGTGGAGAGTCCCAGATTAAACCTAGTGGGAGTTTCCCCCAAGAGGGACAAAAGGACCCCTGATGATCCTCTAATCGCCTGAGCCAAGGTGTGAAACTGGGTGTGGGTCCCAATCAGCCAGACAGCTTAGCAAAGAATCAATTGTAAAGTATAAACACAGTGCCAGTGCAGTAAAAGCATACCTGCATAGAAAAACACAATGGATTGACACCCCCACCCCCCTGGAGCCTGGACCTCAACATTATTGAAGCCGTGTGGGACGAAGAACGGAACCAAAAAAGCAGCCAACATCCGAAGAAGAGCTTCAGATGTCCTTCCAACAAGCCTAAGAATTATTCCTGAAGACTACTTTGTTGTTGTTGAAATGTTGAGAAAAATATTCAGGCTGTGTTGAAGAATGAAGGTGGTGATACCAAATACTGACTTTCAAGCTTGTTGTATACTGTATTTTCACATATATTTGCACATATTTCAATAAAACAGTGCACCTATTTCCCCTTTTACTAACAAAATATAAAAAATGAAGGGTGTCCTTGCACTCTGATATCTGTTTCACCCATGAAAACAACGCTCATAAAAACAAACTGACATTGACACTAGAAAACTAAAATGAAATGAAGTATTTCAACCAATCAAAGTTAAACTGACCATCATCTGTCTAACTGCACATGACTCCACTGTCTGCCATCTCGCTCCTCCCCCCTGCAGATCCTGGAGAGGTTGAATAAGATGTGCAGCAGCGGAGTTTGGAAGAAGCAGCAGAGGCTGCTAAAAAACATGGGTGCTCATAAAGTGATGCTGGACCTGCTGCAGGTCTCCTACGACAAGGTAAGACAGGACACCCCAAATTAAAAGCACCTTGGCAGGCTTAATTAAGCAGGTCAATTCAAATAGTGCTGCACTTGAAGCCATGCAGCCTTATTTTAAATGACATTGAAATCTCACAGTGGAGTTTTTCATCAATAACTTATTACAGATGTTCTTTCTTTTTCCAGTCTTCATTTTGAACTGTGGAGTAGTTATAATAATGTAATACTTATCAAACAGGCTGAGATTTGTTATTTAGCAGCCATTCATATTTATTGGTGTTCATGGATTTCTTTCGTTCGATTAAAATATATGTATATATTCAAATAGTCTGGCTGTAGCCAGATTTGAGAGGAGAGTTCAGCTCAACCAAGACTAACCATCGTGTTTGTCTGTGTGTGTGTCTGCAGAATGATGTGAAGATGCAGGAGATCATCAAGTATACTCACCTGTTCCTGCAGAAGTTCTGTATGGGGAACCAAGAGAATCAGGCTCTGTTGCACAAGAACCTCAACTTGTTTCTCAACCCGGGGGTAAGCTGCTGCACAAATGTGCAAAAGTTATACAAAAGGCATATTTAGTTCGTAAATCTGAGTGGACGTTCAGTACGCTTTAAGGATGGTTTTTTATGTGTGGTTACATGTTCAGACATCTTTGTGAGGACAGAAATTGTCATGCTACTACACCTGTGGGGACCAAGAGTCACTTATGGGGACAAAATGCCCATCGCCAACGAGTTTGGAGGCATGTTTGAGACTCAAAATGTGGTTTTAGTGTGAGGGTTACAGCTAGGTTATGGTTAGGTTTAGGGTATCCGTTAGGCATTATGTCAATGACATGTCCTCACTAAGATATGAAAACGAGTGTGTGTGTGTGTGTGTTTCTTTTTCTTTAGGAATATGTCAAGTGAGAATCAGTCTTAATATCTTATCTCCTGTTCCACACTCATAAGTTGAAATTTCTGACACTTGAGTCCAATTAGCCAATTACCTCCCTGTTTATATACCCAGCCTACATTTAGAGACACTCGTTGCCAGATTCTCTTTAAATGCAGTGTAGTCAAACCTTTCAGTTTTAGTTTTCTATCACTTTTAATTATCTTTACCTTTAACTTCTGTCAGCTCTGTGAAGCTAAATAAGCCAAAATCAGAAATATTCTGTACAGTTGGATTTTCTTCTACATAAAACACCTGATCAAGTTACTTCTGTTTAAACGGCTTTCATTTATTTTACTTTAGCTAATCAACTTTTACTCGTTTAAAGAAAATGTCGGTTGTCTCTGGGTTTTTTAAAGTGATTTGAGTATGCTTGGTGTACTGAAGGGGACTTGAATGAAAATTAATCAGCTAGAGAAAGAATATCAGCCTCTTCCACGTCATGCATTTTTAATGTCTCTTTGCTATTTGGGCTGACTGGGACCTGATGAATGTAAAAACAAAGAATTACCAGATTTTGTTTTTTTTACCTGAGTTTTGTTTCTCAGAAAAATGAGAGCCACATAGAGGACATTCGTTTAAAATTTTGATAGAACAGTGCAGTATATGTCCTCATAAGTGGATATCAGGCCCTTGTAGAGCAAAATTTATATTTTGGTCTAAATAACCCAAAATGTGATGTCCACATATGTGGACGCCAGGTCCAGGAGGTTTGTGATTAGAAACCATATTATAAACTATAAGCTGTTTTGTGGTTGGATGATGTCACAGGGACATAGTGACATAGTGAAAACAAATTCCCAACATTTTCCAACATTCAGGAGGCAGTTGGGGGGGTTTGTAATGAAAAAAAAAGTCAAAACTAGTCTTCTCTAAATAAATATCAGTGTTGATGTGACTGACCTGAAGTGAAACCTTTTTGATTTCTAAACTTTTCCTTGTTCATGTCCAGCTCCTGGAGGCGGAGACAGTGCAGCACATCTTCAGTAATAACTACCAACTGTGCAGCGAGATTTCTGAGAGCGTGCTGCATCACTTCATCCACTGCCTGGCAACGCACGGCCGCCATGTCCAGTACCTCAACTTCCTCCACACCATCATCAAGGCCGAGGGCAAGTACGTCAAGAAGTGTCAGGACATGATCATGACCGAGGTGAGGATGAGACGCGCCGCTTCGCTTCTACTAAAACATCAACCCGTGTTTTCATGCTGATGTATTCAACTTTTCCTTTCATCTCTTCTTGTAGTTAACAAACGCCGGTGAGGACGTGGTCGTCTTTTACAACGACAAGAACTCGTTTAAAGTCATGCTGGAGCTGATGGCAGAGAGCAGGGAGGGCGTCAGTGAGACCAGCCCACTCAGGTAACCAAGGCAGCGATGATGATGATGATGATGTTGAAGTAATGAAAAAAAGCAGTTTTATTAATCCATCGTCGTTAAACCTGATACTAACCAGTCATTTAAGAAATGACAGGATTGTATTTTATTTGTTAAATGACTGAAAGCTTTGAGCTGGAGACAATTTTATAACAGGATAAAATGATCCTATAACAGGATATAAAAGGATCCAAACAGCATGTCACTCTGCATGTTTAAGATTTTTTATGTCCTTCCTGATTCAATCAAAAAGGAATTTGTGTCTCCTCTGATCTTGAACCAGCTACTCAAATTTTATTACATTTCTAAACATGTTTTCTTGAGAAGTTCTTGCAGTGATTGTGAACTTATAGTTATACAATTGTTGTAATGCACTATCTGACGTGCTGTGTGCTGTGTCACTGTTCTAATACCAAAACCCAGACACAATGATGCAGTGTGTCAGTATCGCTCTGGACGCGTGGCTGTATATTAAGCTACAGATGATGTCGAGGAGTTCATTTGTTTCAAATCGTTGAAAAGAAGAAGCAGAGCAGAAGTTTGTACCACCTTAACTCTGCTGCTATAAACACACAAGTCGTGGCTCTTCTGATGAGCCTTCAGCTGATGTGGCCACAGCTGCAAAACAGGAGACACGAGTCATGACTTGTTAAAATGTTTATCAATCTTTAGTTTTTCCACAATATCAGAACTGATTTAATTTTTTTAAAAATTTAATTGACAGATTTGGTTCTGGCAGATTTTGCCCTATAAGAAGTCACATCTGTTTTCAAGTATATATACGTGTGGGTGCATATATATTTTACTTGAGTCTAAATACTGTGTGGACAACAAAGTTTTTCAAGTTACCATCAGGTGCTTTTATTTCCCATCCCAAACATGCTGTCGTGTTTCCGTCTGAGACCTGAATGTGAAATAATTTCCCCCCCTGCAGGTATCACATCTCTCTGGTGGAGCTTCTGGCTGCTTGTGCAGAGGGGAAGAACGTGTACACGGAGATTAAATGCACCTCCCTGCTGCCCCTGGAGGATGTGGTCAGGGTGGTGACCCATGAGGACTGCATTACTGAGGTTCTCACCGCGTTTGTGTGGTTTAAGGTTTTTAAACTGCTTTGATTAAACCAGAAAGCTAACTCGACTTCCTGTGTGTCTCCAGGTGAAAATTGCCTATGTGAACTTTGTGAATCACTGCTATGTGGACACAGAGGTGGAGATGAAGGAAATCTACACATCCAACCACATCTGGAATCTGTTTGAGGACTTCACTGTGGACATGGCTCGGGTAGGAACAGCACCATAGTTTATCATCATAACTAGTAAACTATTGTAAATCATTACCTCATTATTTAAAACTCCACCCAGGTTTAACACAAGCCTCCAGCTTTGTAACATTATAGTTACAATAATGTGCAGAGTCTTTCTTTATATTTTGCTTCCACTGAGTTGGATTTGGGGGGGAAAGTGGTCTTGAGCACTTGAGGCTTTTTTTTGGACATTGGCAGATTTCTTTTCCTTTTTTTTGTTAAACCTCACCTAAAATCCTCCTAATTCAACAGATGAACCAGTGCTGCCTTCACATAACAGACACTTTAGTAAAGAACCAATTTGAATTTTAGTCTCTTTCGTCCAGTTCCTTTAGTTCAGGGGTGGGCATCTCCAGGCCTCGAGGGTTTAGATGTGTCCTTGATCCAACACAGCTGATTTAAATGGCTAAATGACCTCCTCAACATGTGCTGAAGTTCTCCAGAGGTCTGGGAACGAACTAATCATTTGATTCAGGTGTGTTGGCCCAGGGTGAGATCTAAAACCTGCAGGACACCGGCCCTCGAGGCCTGGAGTTTGCCACCCCTGGTTTAGTTGGATAACAGAGTTTGGCATAAAACATTTTTACACCAACAAGGTGTTACGTTCCCCTAAAAAGGTCCAGATGTGAGGGAAAGTAACAAAAGGTGTCCAGGTTGAAAAAGGAGACAGGGAGGCAAAATAGTTAAATTAACAGGTTTATTAATGTTTCCATTAATAACTCACCTAAAAGAGACGGACAAGCTGCTAAAGAAAGAAAACCATAAACTGAAAGTATGCCAAAAACGGTTAGTACCAAAACACACTCCTCTCCACACAGCAGGGGCAATCCACAACACACACACACACAACACAACCACACACACACACACACACACCACACACACACACACACACACACACACACGGCAGGACAACATACATTGTATGGAAAACCATACATTTCACACCTGAGCCTCAACTCTCGCGGCCCGGTACTGGTCCAAGGCCCGGGGGTTGGGGACCACTGGGTTATATGATTGTTGGGTTTTTCTCTGTATGTGTTACTGTAGGGTCTACCTTAAAATATAAAGCACCTTGAAGCACTGTTGTTGTTATTTGGCGCTGTGTAAATAAAATTGAATTGACACACCCACACAAGGTCAATTTCAGGAAGGAGGCCCTGCTAGGATGTAAGACAAGGTGATTGCCAAAGGGCTATTAGCTTAAAACTTGGCCTATACCAGCATTGTGTGGGGAGTATCCTTAAAAAATATCTGAGGAAATTGAAGAATAGGAGGTCAAAAAAGTGACAAGCCTAAAAAAACGATCTACAGCAGAACAACAGGTAAACAGTTTCTGAGAGTCATATCCATAAGAAAGTAGACATAAAACAACCTGACGTGACGTGGTGCTGATGTTCGGGGTTTTTCCCTCTCTGCAGGTCTGTAATAAACGAGAAAAGCGTCTTTCCGATCCCGTTCTGGAGAAATACATCATCGGCGTGGTTTTTGACACCATCAACGCCTTCTTCAGCTCCCCTTTCTCTGAAAACAGCACTTCTCTGCAGGTGAAGGAAATGCTTCACCTTGGTGATATAAAACTGTTTAGGTGTGGTTCCAGTTAGTTGATTGCTTCTCTGTCCCTGTCAGACTCATCACACCATCGTGACTCAGCTGCTTCAGTCGTCTGTCAGGCTGCTGGACTGTCCCTGGTTGCAGCAGCAGCACAGAGGGCAGGTGGAGGCATGCATCAAGACGCTGGCTGTGACAGGTAACAAACCTGGCACCGCATTACGTCTCAGCCATGAATGATTCCCATGGTTTTCTCTCACATTCCCACTTAAAAAAGGGTGACTAAGTCTTGTGAATTTTGTCCAGCTAAGAGTCGCTCCATCTCTGTGCCTTTGGAACTGGAGGCTCAGATCAACACCATGCTGTCCACGTCAGCTTTGAACTCTTTGTCGCGCTCCAATCCAAACTACAAATCCTCCTCCCGCCTCACCCGCCCTAGCGCTCCTACCAACCCCTGGGACTACAAGAACATCATCGAGAAGCTGCAGGTGCACAAGGGCACACCGAAAAAAAGACTTTTCTTTATTTACATTAACTTGCAGTAAACTGTATTTAACCTTGTTCCCTCAGGACATCATAAACACTCTGGAGGAGCGTCTGAAGCCACTGGTGAACGCTGAGCTTTCGGTGTTGGTGGATGTCCTCCATCAGCCGGAGCTGCTGTTCCCTGAAGGAACCGACATCCGACAGCGCTGTGAGTCCGGAGGATTCATTTCCAAGTAGGTCATCTGAGTGTAAAGCATGCTTGAGCACTGACACTAGAGGGATGAGGGGAATTATGATGTCCGTGTGCTGACCAGGTTGATCCAGCACACCAAGGCGCTGATGTCTTCAGAGGAGAAGCTGTGCATCAAAGTCCTAAAGACTCTGCAGGAGATGCTCATCAGGACTCTGGACTTTGATGAAAAGGTGAGTTAATAGTAGCTGGACTACCACAATCAGCCTGTTAAACTTAAATCAAAACCATTATAATCACGGTCGAACAACAAAGGCAGGTCCTTGAGAAATACAGTACATTAAAAAAAAACCACAGTGTTGTTGTGGTCATTCTTCTTTGGTGGTTTTGTAGCTTCCAGTGGTCCTTTTGCAGTTTTTCCATATTTATGCTTATTTCATTTGAGACAGTTTGTCTGGAATGGGACCACAACCCAAACACTCCCCTTTCGCTGAATCATCTTCACCTGTTCGTGTTTGCGTTCCCCACCCTCTCTCGTCTCTCCCCATTCTTCAGCCTCTGCCAGGCCTTGTTGCTGCCACTGATCATGAATGAAGCCTTCCTCAAACTGAAATCTCTGGCTTATTTCTTGGTTTTGTTTCAGTTAAATGTAACAGGATGGAGACTGAATGGACTTTCTGTTGATTTGTTTCAGGGACTAGTGCTGCGGAAAGTTTTACTGCAAAACTACTTGTTTCCAAACAAGAAGACCAACCAGAAGAATGACTTAGCTGAACTTGGAGTTCCAGGTAAACTGCTTCATACGAACACTGCTCAGAGGAAATAATAAACACTGCTCAAATAAAATGCAGGAGACACTTGATCATAACAGTATAACATAGTCAGATAAGTTCAGGAATGTCATTGTGTTCAGTGAAGAACAAAACATCCGAAATCCGTTTCACCTGCTTTGTTAAATTCAATTGTAGACTGGACACGAACCCAAAAAGAGGATGACTTTGCAGGTGGTGGCTTCATTTCTCTGTCTTTATCCTTCCTTACTGATCTTTCTCTAGTGCTGCTTTTTGCTGGTGTCTTTGCTGCACAGGTAGTCCAGCTCCTTCGTGACGACGCATCCATATTTGACATTGATAGGTTTGTTGTCTCATGTATATCCTTGGAGGGTGGCAATGACCTCCATGTGCGGGCCAGCAGTATTCTGACTGCTGTTGGATACCAGCACGAAATCCTCAGACCCACCCATCATGTTTATGTTGCTGTAGCAGACCCTGGGTTAAAGGCTTTTGGTGTGTTTATATAGTTACTAAGAAGGAATTGAATTCCCCAGACTTGGATTTAATTTGTAACCTGTTGGAAGTTATGTGTCGGTGCGTTCAGTGTTGCTAATTAGAACCACTGAGCTCACTGATCCAAGTCTGGGGGGAGATTCCCCAGGACACCATTTATTTAACATGATTTACATAACACAATAATAGGAATCTAATGTGTTTATGATGCTATAATCTATATTGTCTGTGCACAAGCTGCTATATTATGCTGTATTTTTCTTTCTGTGAGTTAGGCGGTGAACAGGAGCGGGACTGGGCGGCAGTGGCAGCAATCCAGTGTCGTCTGGATCGTGAAGGAGGAACGAAGCTGTTCACAGATCTGGTGATGAGCACCAAGAATGATAAGATCTTCCAGGAGAGCATCCAGCTGGCCATCTGTCTGCTGGAGGGAGGAAACACTGAGATACAGGTAGCAGACAGGAGAAGTTTCTTTGCTCATTTAAGTCACTGTTATGAAATTACAGAGCCAAGTCCGTTCTAAAAGCACAGGAAAAACCAAATAATACATCAAACGTGTAAAAACAATAGATCTGAGACAAGAATGGTCACTTTTTTTTTGAATAGTGTAGCTTAGTTTTCTCCAACATAGCTGATCCAGAGATCGCAGGATGTGGTACTGGCAATGGGACCGTTTTAATGAAAGAAGTTGGTTCTTGGTTAGACGTGGTTGTACGCTGGGTTTAGTTTTGACCATCTTTTATATATTGTTTTAGAACAAAGACTGCTTCAGAGCTGGTTTTGATTCATTTTAGGCATGGTTTTAGACTGGGATGGTTTTCAAGCTTGTTTTTGGTCCCGTGTTAAACTGGTGTGTTGACTCTGTCCACTTCTGATGCAGAACTCCTTCTACAAACTGATGATGGGGGACAACAAGTCAGAGAAGTTCTTTAAAGTGTTTAATGACAGAATGAAAGAAGCTCAGGCCGACATTAAAGCAACGGTTTCTGTTAATGTTGGAGAGATGACGCACAAGGCCAACGAGAAGCTGGAGAACGGTGAGAGTCATCTGAAAATAGTTTCTGAGGACACATCTGTGGAATCCGATTATTCTATAGTTTCAATGTACGTCCATATTTAGGGTTCCTTAGATTTATTTGACGATGATATGATCAAACCCCATTTTGTAACCAATAGTTTGGCATCACTCACTGGAACTTTGATCAGGTTTAGACCTTTGATATAATGTTTTAAATGGTTAATTAACAAACAATTATGTATTATGTCTGTGAAGGTTCTCAGTCATCCAGGTCATCGTAGTCTAAGGAGCTTGGAAAGAAAAGCGTCTGGACTTCTTTAAGTTGCTTGAAGACGTTTCACCTCTCATCCGAGAAGCTTCTTCAGTTCTAAGGTCAAATGGTGGAGAGTCCCAGATTAAACCTAGTGGGAGTTCCCCCACAGAGGGACAAAAGGACCCCTGATGATCCTCTAATCGCCTGAGCCAAGGTGTGAAACTGGGTGTGGGTCCCAATCAGCCAGAGTTTCGGGTGAGTCATTGTGAAACCTGGCCCCACCTTATCATGCGAATTCCTGAGATCAGATGGCCCAGGATGTGAGTGGGCGTTAAGGCGTCTGGGAAGGGATCTCAAAACTGGATTATAGATGGCAGAGAGTTGGTGTCGTAAACCCCGCCTCTGTTCAAAGATGGTCGCTCACAGTGGACATAGATGCTTCTTTCACTCCTCTTTCAAACCATCTGTCCTCTCTGTCCAAAATGTGAACATTGGCATCCTCGAAAGAGTGACCTTTACCTTTAGATGCAGATGGACTGCGAGTCTTGTCCTGTGGAGGTGGCTCTTCTTGTTGTGCCATGCGCTTGTGAAGTGGCTGTTTGGACTCTCCACCGTTTGACCCTAAAACTGAAGAAGCTTCTCGGATGAGAGGTGAAACATCTTCAAGCAACTTAAAGAAGTCCAGACGCTTTTCTTTCCAAGCTCCTTAGACAGATATGTATTATGCACCTTTGTGAAGGGAAAAATAAGACTCTGAAAAGGTTTGAGTTCTGAAAGATGTTTGTAATAATATTTTATGGTTTAAAGGTGGCTCCACCACAATGGGTGTACTTCCGGGTACAGGGGGTCATCCACTGTTGGTACCAGGGGCGCCCATTGCCCCAGGCACCTCCACCCTGCCAGCTCAACCTATTGAAGAACAGAAGGAGGTGGAGACAGAGATGGGACCAGCTGTTACCATCATGAAGCCGATCTTGAGGTTCCTACAGCTGCTTTGTGAGAACCACAACAACGACCTACAGGTCAGTTCCTGCTAACTACTGAACAGTGTTGAGCCTTTTTTACAGATTGTATAGCATTAAACATGTGACAAAAAGTTAATATCTACTAACTATATTTTAGAGACAAGTTGGATGTTTTTCTCTCCACTTTAGGCGGGTCTTTTAGCACCGTCTGTTAGAGGCCAGTACAGGAAGTAAAGCTGTTTGTCCCAGCATCTTCTTCATGTGAGCACACATACAGAAAATGTAAGGCTCAAGTTTGTGACTTTGTGTTTCCAGAACTTCCTGCGTTGTCAGAATAACAAAGCCAACTACAACCTTGTGTGTGAGACACTTCAGTTCCTGGACATCATGTGTGGTAGTACGACGGGTGGCCTGGGCCTGCTGGGCTTGTACATCAATGAATCAAATGTCCACCTCATCATTCAGTCCCTGGAAACACTTACAGAGTACTGCCAAGGACCCTGCCAAGAGAACCAGGTACATGAGAACAACAGGGTGGAAACAATGGTTTCTACTTTTCTTTGACGGTACAGGTGCCAAGGTGGTGCAGCGGTTAACGCTGCAGCATCACTGTAAGAAGGCTGTAGGTTCAAACCTGCAGCTGGAAGTTGAGTGTTCTCACTCTGCTTGTGTGGATTTCCTTCCTCCAACAGTCCACAGACATGCTTGTTAGGTTAACTGTCCCTCGCAGTAAAGCAATGATTACATTATTAACATTCATGGGGTAACTGCTCACTAAGGAGTGGCCAGTGGTCTCCATATCCTAGTCTGGGCAGATTGATATAGCTGCAATGTGACACAAAGCCAGTGGTTGGTAATGCAAGACGATACTTACTACTAGAAATATGACAAAGTCGCTTTGTTCAGTGCTATTGGTAATGTCTGCTACCAGACAAGAAAGGTACATCCATTGAAAAAGAAACTGGCACCAGCACCCTGAAACCTGAAAACGTGGGCTCAGAAGGCACCAAAGAACCACGAGTGCCAGCACAAGAGATGAAGAGACCTGATGTTATCCTCTAGTTTTTAATTTTCCAGACGTTCTCAAGGTGTCCTTTGTTTACTGCACTGTCTTACACAGACATTTGTTTTCTGTGTTTCAGACATGTATCGTGACCCACGAGTCCAACGGCATCGACATCATAACGGCTCTGATCCTGAATGACATCAGTCCTCTATGTCGCTATCGGATGGAGATGGTGCTGCAGCTGAAGGTAAAATGGAGTCGCCTCTTTCATTTAGACGGAGTTCAGTGTAGCGACACCATAGTGGCAAAAGTGCAGAAATCTTTCTTATTTTCATATTTCTGTGCATTAAAAGAAGCACAGGAAATCTAACACTGCTTGAAATGTAATTATGTTTAAACATGTCATCTGGGGCGCGGTGTCGGAGGTGATCAAATGTGACCAAACACCATCATTTATCTCTCACTCTTTTAGGTTAATGTGTGGGTTTGTTTCCAGGTTTTTAAGTCAGCATTTCCACAAATATCATTCCTGTCTGTGTAAAGATAGAAGTCATTGTCTCTAGTACTTGACAACCGGTTCAGTCCATTTGTTTGACTGCTGCTCGACAGGACAATGCCTCCAAGCTGCTGTTGGCTCTTATGGAGAGTCGTCACGACAGCGAGAACGCAGAGAGGATTCTGCTGAACCTGCGGCCACGAGAGCTGGTCAGACCCTGAACCACATGTCCATGAAGCAGCTGTTAAAGATCTTATTGAAAAGCAAGAAAAATCTAAGTGTGTACATGTCCACTCTGCCAGGTGGAGGTGATAAAGAAGGCCTACAACCAGGAGAGTGAATGTGAAGATGTGGAGGTGGAAGTTTCTCCTCGGGAGGTGGGGCACAACATCTACATCCTGGCTCAGCAGGTGACTAAACTCAATTTCCTATTGGCTATCTGGAAGAGCTCATGATATTTTGTGGTTGGTTAGGGTCAAAATAAAGTTCTTGATGTGTTTTTGCAGCTGGCGAGACACAACAAAGTCCTTCACAACCTCCTAAAACCTCAAAAGAACAATAAAGAGGGAGAGGAGGGCATTTCCTCAATGGTAAACATCCATCCATCCATCCATGTCAAGTTGTAATCATCTAAAACTGACACCACGCTGCTGTTTGTGTGTCTGCAGCTGAACCTGAACAACCGACCTCTGTCCCAGATGTTGAAGTCCTCAGCTCCAGCTCCTGTGGTGGAGCAGGACCCGCTGGAGTACTACGAGCAGCTAACTTCACAGATAGAGGTATTACTACTATTAAAATAAAGATCTTTATCCTGAGCCATTGATCCTATAATACTTTGTGCTTTGGTTATCAAATAGCACAAAATGGCATTTGATCGTTTGGGTAAAACGTAACTTTTTCAAATTGTTTATTTAACAAGCATCTCTGTTCCTCGGTTACACAACTCAGTCCTGGTCTGAGTCACAACAATCTAAGCAGAGATGCTCCCCCCTCGTTCCAGCCACCACCAAGAAGTAGAATTCATAGTTCAGTCACTGACCATATGCTTTATGGCAAGACAGCAGTAGGCCCGGGTTCGAGTCCGACCTGTGGCCCTTTGCTACATGTCTTCCTCTCTCTTTCCTGTCTGTCTACACCATCCATAACCCAAAAAGGGCAAAAGAAACCCCGTAAATTCTGAAAATGTGCTTTCTTTGAGTTTGTCAACTTCATCTCTACATTTTAGAGAGGATCGAGCTTTTATCATCTGTGCAGAAGACGTTGTCTAAACTACGTATCTGTCTGTGCCCAGATTGTTCGCGATGACCGCAGCATGGAGCAGATTGTGTTTCCCGTTCATCCCATCTGTGAGTTTCTGACAGAGGAGTCAAAGATCAGGGTGTTCAACACCACTGAGCTGGACGAGCAGGGATCCAAAGTCACACATTTCTTCGAGCAAACATCCTTCCTGCATGGAGAAATGGAGTGGCAGAAGAAGCTGAGGAGTGAGTACACACACTCAGTGCGATCTGTAAAGGTTTCATTCGTGTAGCCAGGTGCTCACATCAATTCTACTTTTGCTCAACATATAAAAACCCAACAGCGTGTTCAGGCTCAACATGTATGTGTTTGTGCAGGTATGCCAGTGTTGTACTGGTTCTCCAGAAGGATGACTCTGTGGGGAACAATCTCCTTTAAACTTGCCCTCTTCATCAACCTCATCATCGCTTTCTTCTACCCCTACGACTCCGGACAAGGTACTACTGCAAGTACTGATAGATCTGAAAATACGACTAAACACACGAACACTGTCATTTTATTTTTGTCATCATCTGTAGAAAGTGTGGAGGACTGGTCGAGGTGAGGATGTGGCACTTAAAACGATGCTCTTCTCCTCTGTAGGTGCAATCGACGACTCTCTGTTGTTGATGCTGTTCTGGGTCCTGACCGGTCTCTCCGTCCTGGGTTTGTTCTCTCAGCGTTCTCTCACGCCGTTCACCGTCGCTCTGATTCTCAGGTCCATCTACCACCTAGGCATTGGCAACACGCTAATAGTGCTGGGAACACTTAATGTGAGAAAACACCACATTACACATCTGCACCCTGGGTGTGATTAGCTTAGCATGGCTTGGTACCCGTTTTAAATATTTAAACTCTTGATTCACAGTTGACATTTCTAGGTTTTATTCGGAGTTGATGAAGATTTTTTCTTTTTTAAAATCAAAATGATGATTTCATGTTTTTTTAGTTAAGTTTGGTGATCAGTGAACTGGTCAGTTAAAAAATATAAACTGTGAAGACACTGAATACACTTATCAGAAGTTACTGTGTCCTAAAAGGAAAATATTCTCCTGTTCTTTTTGAGCTCTAGATTTGAATTGTGGTTCTAGAGTAGAACATTCTAGATCAGAGGTGTCAAATATGTGGCCTGAGGGCCGGAATCAGGCCTTGTTTTATTATTAAAGGCCAGTCTGGGCAATGAGCTAGCAGAACTTTTCTGCTTTTCTTACATTTATTTCTTACAATTGGCCAGCGTCCTTTTACATCTCTTTGGTAACAACACCTCCAGCCTGATCATCCACTGTGCTGTCCATGTTTTGTCCATTTCCAGCTCATCAATAAAGTGGTGTTTGTGGTGAGTTTTGTGGGAAACAACGGCACATTTATTATGGGGTACAAGGCCATGGTGATGGATGTGGAGTTCCTCTATCACCTGGCATACGTCCTGACGTCCACACTGGGACTCTTCGTTCACGAGCTCTTCTACAGCATCCTGGTAAACAGCACACACAGTGACCTGTCAGGTGTTTGTGCTGTTTGTGGTAGGAAGGGAAATCTAAGTGTCTGTGTTCATTTCGGGCAGCTTTTTGACCTGATCTACAGGGAGGAGACCCTGTTAAATGTGATAAACAGCGTGACGCGCAACGGGCGCTCCATCCTGCTCACGGCACTGCTCGCTCTCATCCTTGTGTACCTCTTCTCCATTGTGGGCTTCCTCTTCCTGAAGGAGGACTTCATTATGGAGGTCGACCCGCTGGCACAGATTGCTGCAGGTAAATTCACAGCTGTTAAAATTAACCCTCATACCAAAACCTTAATCGCTACTAGTTACTGTCTCCTGTTCAGCTTCTCAAAATAGTGAAGCCTCTCAGGATTTCCTCAAGTCGTGCTCTGCAGACGGAGTCAGCTGCACTGCAGAGACCAACACTGAAGAGGAAGGTAAGAGACAGACACATCACTAGATGGTTACTGACAGTAGTCAGTTTTTGCAGCATGTATTAGAAAACAACTCGTTCAGCTAACTAAAATAGATACAATTATCCAATTTCCACCACTTACTGGAGTCCAAGTACAGACAGGGAGCTAAATAACTATATAACAGTTTAACATGGTGTTTATCCACAGATGCAAATACAAAAATATGTTTTGGAGCTGTTAAACAGTAAATGGGCTGGTTCTTATATGGCACTTTTTTTACTCTACTGGAGCACTCAAAGTTTCGTAAAGCTGGTGAGGATGCAATACCAGCGTTAAGATGCATTAAGTCATCGTGTGGTTTGGATTTGAGAAGGAGGATGTAGAACCAAAGGGGGTAAATTGCAAAACATGCTGAAAAGTCATCCATGCAAAATTAAGACTGTTTTTAACTCTGCATGTGAACATCTCCCCACGCCAAAGCTATCGGCGAGACAAACGGAGGAAAATGATTAAGGTTACTTTATTTATAGCCAGAGGTAAATTTGCTTTACAGAAAAATGATAGCACAGGGTTAGTGGCATGTGCAAGTCTGATTCCATGTTAATGCTTGTCGAATGTGAAGCATATTTGTAGCTGGTTCAGTGAAATTTGGTCGAAGTGTGATGAAACTTGCAGTTCTGGAATCTGTGAGATCTCAGCTTTTAGACACTGTGCCGTTTGTTTGGTTACATGAAGTCGAGTTATTCAGAAAGTGTCAGAGACCAACAATGTTAGATCCACTTCAAGGACAGCCAGCTAACAACAGCTAACAGGGGCAGATAGGGCTTAAATCTTCAACATATCCTCAATAACTCACGTAGTATCGCTGTCATTGGTCAGAAGTGAGCTTCACTCACTTACAGACTCGTATCACAAAGTTTTTAAAGGCTGGAGTAAATGTGGATGCTTCTTATGCGGCATTGACAGCTGAGGTAAACAGAGCACTGACAGCCTCTAAAAAGGAATCTCTGGGCTGCATACAGATCCACTCCAAACAGTAGCAGGAATATGCCAGGAAGGCAGTTATGGTTTAAATACTAAGTTTAATATTTTTGGTCTCTTTTGCTCCACTAAAACATGTTTGTGCTATAACAGCCACCATAGCTGGGATTATACACTTTGATTGGGAGCGGTAGAAAAACAGAACTAGTGGTGAAAGTTTTTACACACCATAACTTTACATTTATACCGACTTTGTATTTGATCATTGTTAAATGTCCTCGATGAGTCTTTGTGTGTGTGTTTCAGAGGTGCCAGACTCTGAGCGAGCATGCGACACTCTGTTGATGTGTATCGTTACTGTGCTGAACCACGGACTGAGGAACGGAGGAGGAGTGGGAGACGTCCTCCGCAAACCATCTAAGAATGTACGAGACAGTTTTACCTGAATGCTGCTCTCCGATAACAAAATGCACAGCCTACATCTTTGGCTTTTATCTGACGTTTTCTTTATCATGTGGAAATATTCTGCCACAGAAAGGTGCAGTTCGGTTTTTAAATTTGCTGTTACTAAAAAAATGATCTTAAACTGCAGGACTATAAATGCTAGCTGCTCTGAAGATGAAGTTTTAATATAGATAAAAGATCATCAGGTAAGAAGTTCGTGCAGAGTGAAGGCTAAATTCCTTTCCCGGGTCTGTGTTCAGGAGCCACTGTTTCCCGCTCGAGTTGTGTATGACCTGCTGTTCTACTTCATCGTCATCATCATCGTCCTCAACTTGATCTTCGGTGTCATCATCGACACGTTCGCAGACTTGAGGAGTGAGAAGCAGAAGAAGGAAGAAATTCTGAAAACAACATGTTTCATTTGCGGTTTGTAGACGTTCTTCACACTGTGACTAACAAACCAATCAGCTAACAGTAGATTTGTTGAAGAAGCTTGGTCTTCTTTGTTCTGCTGCAGGCCTCGAGAGAGACAAGTTTGACAATAAGACGGTGTCTTTCGAAGAACACATCAAACTGGAGCACAATATCTGGAACTACCTCTACTTTATCGTTTTGGTGCGCGAGAAAAACAAGACGGACTACACAGGACCGGAGAGCTACGTGGCTCACATGATCAAGGTGGGAAACGTTAAAGAAAGAAGTGACATGGCTGCGATTTCAGGTTCACAAATAAACTGCTCCTTCTTCTGCTGCTTCAGAACAACAACCTGGACTGGTTTCCACGGATGCAGGCCATGTCACTGGTGGTAACAGACAGCGATGGCGAGCAGAACGAGATGAGGCAGTTACAGGACAAACTGGTATCAACCATGAAGGTGGTCACAACCCTGACCGCCCAGCTGACGGAGCTCAAAGAGCAGGTATTTGCACACAAAGTGACAGATGCACTGACGATAACAAAGTTGACTTTGATTTGACAAATTACAGCTCGCTTTAACTTTTTTAAGCTAATGAATCTGTTTATAATTACTTTTATCAGCCAAGGCTAACTGGTTACCAGTCGGGTCAGCTACACGGGTTTGGATGAAATAGTCAATCATATGCAATCATTACCAAACATGGGGTATGTTTTCCATCTTAAGTTATGTTACAGCTACCTCAGACTATCAAAAAGTCCCCGATAGGTCAAAATATTAGGGTTAACATGTGAAAAATATTCTGCCCCACGACATGCTGGAAGATCCTAACACTGCAGCCCAAATCAAGTAAATGCTGACCGTACTTTTATTCATTCATTAAAAGCAGAAATTCTTCCAGAATCAGCAGCTGATCTTTCAACTGCTTTCACAGTTAGCAGGACAACATTTTTAATGCACCACATTTGTGGCACCATAACTGAGGAGCAAAGCTCTAATCACAGCAGCACACATAAACACACTGAATCACAGCTTGGGTGGCGTTTAGTGACTCTGTGTGTGCGTGTGCAGATGACGGAGCAGAGGAAGAGGAGGCAGAGGATGGGCTTTGTCGACGTCCAGGGCGGAGCGAGCGGCGCGGTGCCTCCCAGCGCCGCAGGAGGAAACCATCAGATCTACAAAACATAAAGACACTCGACACATTGGCACACAGACGGATTTGATGTTCACTACATGGTCATCTCTAGATCTGTAGGCCATCCAGCTGGACTGATGGACACAAAGACAGAAACACTAGAACAGCTGAAGCACCTGCAGCTTTCACACAGTTTCATAGCGGCAAATATCCAACAGATTAACGTTCTGATTGTCAGCAGATTGCTGGTTGACAATAATAATCGGAATAGCTGATCTGACTCTCTTAAACCTGCAGCTTCTTCCCTGCTCAGGTCACAGGACAAATTTAGCCCTAAATTTTCCCATTCCAGGTGTTCTTCACGGCCCAGGTTAAAATAAAGCAGCTGTGGTTTTCTTTGTGCAGCAGAAGTTTGTGGATTCTTTCCACCTGGTCAATTTTAAATTAAGTGTATTTTATTAAGCTTACTTCTTGTGGAAGCAGCACATATTAAAGGTTTATGGCTTCAAGTGAAAAATACATGTGTAAAAGAAATTAGCCAGCACATGGCTATTTTATTTATGCAGTGCATTGCACAGCATGTCCAAAAATAATTCCTAAAGTAATTCCTTGATTGCTAAACTAACACGAAGCTGCCTGAAAACAGCCCACAAGTAAGTTCAGAGAGAAAAACACAGCTAAACTGTTTTAAATCAGATCTGGAACCTTTCACAACCAGGGTGAGAAGAAAAGCCCTAACGTGAGTGTAAGACCCGGCAAAGACCCCATAATAGTATTATTATTATTATTAATCATATTCATCTCAATGAAAACATTAGGGATGGTTATCATTTTTCAACACATTAATTTTAAAAAGTGTAATAATAAAAATGTATGTTTGGCGCGCTGATACTACCAGAGGTAGCTGTAATGCACTAAAATCATTGCCAGCAACAACCAAACAACAAAAGTAGAAGAAAAAGTGAGTTGCTAACCAATGTTTGACCAATAAAATGAAGCGAGATTAAAATGAGCCTCTGCTGCACAAACAGGGAAACACAAAGCCAAAGATGGGCGCAGCTGTCAAAAGTCTTCTTCAGCTCTTATTCAAAGAAATATTGATATAATAACTGGCTAGCACGTGAGTCTAAGGAGCTTGGAGAGAAAAGTGTCTGGACTTCTTTATTTGTCTTGAAGACGTTTCACCTCTCATCCGAGAAGCTTCTTCAGTTCTGAGGTCAAATGGTGGAGAGTCCCAGATTTTTAAGCTCTTAGCTTTTGAGGTGAAACATGTAACTTCAACTAACTTAAAGAAGTCCAGGCGCTTTTCCCTCCAAGCTCCTTAGACTACGATGACCTGGATGACTGAGAACCTTCACAGATATAGCTAGCACAAGTCTGCCACAGTTATACAAGTCATTTCAGATCAGTGTGGGCTGGGTGACTGTTTTAAAAATAAAATATGAAACACAAGGCGATTACGCTCTGACACAAACATCTGGAGACAGAATAGTTCATTGCTGTTAGGCTTCAAGTCTTCCTGAAGGTCGCGGGTAACTTGTGAATTCTCAAGCCTCTGTAGATGATGACAAAAAAAACATGTAGGCACGTGGACATCTGTGAACCTCTCGCTCGCCCACTCATGAAAAACTCCATTGACCCAAGTGTACCCACAGATGCACAAACTATAACACACAAATGTCCACATCACGTACCTGGTTTGAAGAAATGTTTGACTGTCCAGACGGCTGTACTTAGAAATTTATCATCTAGCTTTTTAGTTTTTAATATTTCAGAAATCTGCTCATTAATGAGCACACAAGAAATAAGCTGTAGATGCCGGCATCCACACAGTAGGGGGCGCTGTAGGAAGCAGTTCGTGCATTTTGTGTCACATCTTTGGGTTTTTAAGATGCAGTCAGACAAAAATGGGAGCGTCATGGTGCAGCTGGAAAACCTCAGTTGTTGTTTTTTTTTGCTTCTTTTTATCTAAACAGAAAATGAGTTCAATTTAAATTATTACTTAGACAGAATGTTTGATGGCTTTAGTGATAAAGAGCAAAAAGACTAAACTTCCTGTTTTGGGGTGAGCTCAAGTTTCTACCAAGTTTAATAAAAACTGCTAACGTGTGCAAATGTGTGTTTGTAAAACTAACCTTCGACTCACTTTAATAACTTTAAGAAAATGTAAATAGAAAGAAACATGCAGCTTGTGTTTGCCAATTTCATTTGTGCTTCTGTTTGTAAAGCGAGCTGAACACAGATGTGTGTTTTTGTTTTTTTAAATTGTACATCTGGGAAACTTGTAGGATTTAAGGTTTGTGTGAGATCAGACAGAAGCTATGGTTTGTTTTTCTTTAACGCTGTAACAGACGCTGGATGATGGATTTATGAGTAGAAATGTCATTTAGCTTTTTCATTGAGAAACAGACGAGTGAGAAGTATGAAGACGAAAATCCACGTTTTCTCACGTTTACATTGAATAAACTGTATTTAATGCAAACGATTCAGTTTTAGATTTAAAATGCAAATATTAAAGTTAAATGGTTTCACTTTAAGTTTGGGTCTCTGGGTCATAATTCTTATTACTCCAGCTGCTATTTTGAAAACTGTTTGGAGAACAAGAAGACAAATCTGAAAGGACTCACAGATAATCCTGGAGGGAAACGAAAACTCCGTCAGTTCTTTTCAACAGTCAGTTGAAAATACACAAAACTAAAAAGATCTGACAATGTCAACGATAAAGATAAAGAAAAAACATATTTCGACCCATCAGATGCAAAAGAATGACACCATCAGCATCCTGAAAAATATAATTTCATTCAATGTAAACTGTTAAAGACTGTGATTCAGAGAATTTTTTAATTCACATACAGGAAAACCTTTCACAGCACGGTGTGCAACAACCTGTGTGATGACGAGCGACTGAAGATGAACGCGGGAGAAAAAGTGGGAAACTAATTTTAGCTTTTGTTTTTGTTAAGGCACGAGCTGTTTCAATTTTTGAGGCTCGTCTCTCAAACGGCCTGACTGTGTCCTAAACTGAATCACAGCCAGTTTTTCTTCAGAACTGGATTAACAGGAAGTGAACGGCAGCTCTCCACAAAGCCAAAACTCCACCATCAGCTTCCTTTTACATGCAACATGTGACCCGTGGATCTGTAAACAGCACACACACAGTGAGGCTGTGTTTCTGTGCAGGCTATAAATAGTGTTTACTGTTCTCAGTTCATTCGGCTCTGTGTGTGAGAGAGTTGTGTATGTGCAGTGCTGTGCAATATCTGGCATTTAGATAATATTTATGGTTAGATACATTGTTTCTATAACAGGTAATCTCCTGGCCTGTAGTAGTGATGTGTGTCTTTCAGTGTGTGTGAGAGAGTGAAGGATTACTGAGCTTTGGTGTGGAGCCTCAGAGGAATGTTGACCACAGTTGTGTGTGTGTGTGTGTGTGTGTGTGTGTGTGTGTGTGTGT